GATTATTTCTGCGTCAATAAGAAAATTTTGAGAAAAAATTTCGCTTACGCCTGTTTGGCGGTCAGGGCTCGACATGTATGTACGAGTATATGTATCTCAATACATATGTATGTATTTACATTACTAATAACTTACTCAAATTTAGGTCCATCCTCACCAGCAGCCAGTTTGGTTAAAGAAGTTTGTAGTACTTCTTTGGCTTCGTCCAAGTCCTTGCCAGTAAGGCTTGTCTCACCTCCAAGTAAGGGCTAAACAAATTCAAACAAGATTATTCTGTAAACATTGACATACGAATAGTTTTAATGTACACATTTAGGGCCACTTTTTCAGTGAAAGTTTAAACTTAGATGACGTAAACTGCATTTGTCTTGAACAGCTGGCTGACGTTTTATTAGCTAATCTTAGTTTAAACCAGCCAACTCGAGCCCTTAAACTAAGTTTAAACCACAGCCGAGCACTGAAGTACTGGCCCTTAAACATTCAAATGAGAGCAAAGAATATATTTTCAAGAGCTAGTATATACCTACATACATATATTGGTACAAATTATTGTAACTAACTCACTTCTTTATTTGGCATAGCGACTACCGCGGCGACGGCACAACTGAACAACAAAACAAATAACTTATAACTTGCCATTTTTTGATGTTTAATTTATACTTTGATGTTGGGACTTTAGTAACTTATTTCCCGATAGAAGAGAATTCTGAAACTGCTGATATCTCGAAAAAATATTTGCTTTTATACAAAAATAACCTCTATACAACTATGTATATAACTTGCTTTGTGTTTGCGCAGTGGAGCTCCACAACTGTATGAATAGTTGCTTCATTGTATGCATGTACATATGTATGTATGTATGTATGTAAATGTGTATACAATATGACTACAGCTGTGCTTATGAAAACAGCAGCACTACTAAGTATGTTTGTACGTATGTATGTATGGATGCATCAAACACTCAAATCAATGTCCGCATATAAAATAGTTGAGAAAGTTATTTTAATATTTATTTAAGAATTTGTACATACTTACATCTAATTTTAAATCTCATTTCTAGGGTTCGTTTAATTTCTTACCGCAATCTATAAACGCCGTGAGGAAACCGTACTAGGCATGGGCATATTCGAGAGATTTTTCAATTTTTTTGGAGAATTCTTAATAAGAAGTCAATAAGATAACATTAAATCGTTGGATATGGTGTAAATGATGTGTTTTTAGCAGTTTCCTATTATAATTCTAATTATGTATGTACTGTCAANAAACAAAAAAGTTTATTCCAAACGTTCAGAATGAATAAAGAAATTTAGCCTAAATCGTTGGATATGGTGTAAATGATGTGTTTTTAGCAGTTTCCTATTATAATTCTAATTATGTATGTACTGTCAATACAAATATTCAAAAATATTTTCAAACCGCACCGATTTCAAGTTGTACGAATTTCAGAACCGACCTGATTATTAAGTTTTGCTAAGACCAGCTTCTTTAATCAAAATCTTTCAGAATATTAATTCAAAAAAAAAAACGTATTACAATTTTTTCAATGGTTAATTTTCTAGCATATTTTGTTTAAATTTCATATTAAGTATTAATAAAATAAAAACTCGCATTTTTAAGCTATTAAATAAAAATCGGATATCCGAAAACTGGCGAAAATTTGAATAGGGAATACTATTTAATTACAAACCTTTTCACTACCCAGCCAAAATTTAAGCAAACGCTTAGGCCTGATTTTCTACTATATAGAAAAGTAAGACTGGTAGGTATACGTAATAAATATTTTATTTATTTATTTTCAAGGGAGAACCCTGCCAGAAAATCTTCCAAAAACTTGACTGTTAATGGAGCGTATGACATCAGAAATAAAAATTAATTTTTAGCAAAAAAAAACCCGACTTAAAAAAATATATATATATTTCATGGTCAAAAGATCGGATCTAAACTAGATTAGTATGGGACCACCTCTGAGACAAAATTTTATTCGATAGATGGCGCTCTGGTCGAGATATTAATACCCGATTTGGTATTTACCACCCAATTTAGTTAGAACTTTAGAATATATACTTGCGACTTGAATGGTAATTAGTTTGAAACAAATTTGACTCGATAGATGGCGCTCTGGTCGACTTTGGCTCTTATTTGTAATACATACACAATAGATAGCTCCTTGAATGAAAATACTTTGATCCAACTGTTACTCGACCGATTGCGCTGTGGTCGAGATATTTCCAAAAACTTTATTTACATGCATTCCTCCTAATTAGGTTCATATTAGGAATATACACACATATGTATGTATGTATATAGGTATGTACAAATGTATACATATAAGCCCCTTGAAAATAAATACCATGAACAAATATAAAAAGATTGCATACATTTTGCCCGATACTCTACATATGAACATGATGTCGGTGTGTATGCACATATATACATATGTATGTGTATTTATATCTCTCACTCGTATGGACAAAGAGTTCATCGCTCTGGGGGTAGCCCTCAACCAATTTAATGCATTTTGTCACATCAATGTTTATTCTTCAATCATTATCAGAAATATAAAATAATCGTACGTACATATATATGTACATACATACATACATACATATAAATATTTGCGTACCGGCAAAAGCGTTCTTAAAACAATTCACACCTCTCTCTAAACCATCGGCTTTAAGTAGAATTGTTGATCACATGTTAATATATATGTACGTGCATATATATTTATGAGCCTGTATATTCTTACACATGCTATGTACATGCAGACATATGTTTATTTATTTTGGTATACAAATATTTGCGTTTGTAAGCACAATATTCTTTGATAAAAGTCAACCGAGCAATCTTTAGAGAGAGTAGATCAGTCTCTAGGGGGTACAATAATTACCCATTTCAGCAACAAATTTGCATATGAGGTGTTCGCACTGCTAGTGAATGGATGGGTATTAATTGATTTATATTTGGAAGATTTATGCCTTTAAGTGATATGTTTCTTTTATGTTTTTAAGAATGTTCTTAAGAAACTAACGGTTAAGAAAAAATTCAATTAGCAGCTTTTTTTATTTCTGTCTTAATTTTGTTTCTGCCTTAATTCAATTTTCTTTTAATTTTTAGATGTTAAGCAGATTTGTATTTTGGCTGCTACAGAGTGGTGTTGTTTGGAAATCCTTTTATTGATCTGTTCTCAAATTTCTAAGCAACACTGCTGCAAAAATGTACGACTCTGGTACAACCGTACAAATCGTGTGATCCCTACTTTATTATTTTGAAAGAAAAAGAAAGAATAGTTTTTCCATTTCATTTAATTTTTAGATGTTATTCTTTAAGAAATATTTTTTTTTGAAATTTCATAAAATTTTTAGAAATTTCTCTTTTTTCTTATATATATTTTTTTTTTTTAGCTTAACGTATTTTGCTTTTGTTGATTTCATTTCATTTTCAGTTTCTATTGTTTTGAAAAGAATAAATAAAATTTATTTTACTGTTCTGCCTTAATTTTGTTTCTTTCTTAATTTAATTATGTCTAAATTTTTTTTTTCATTTTTTCATAAAATTTTTAGAAACCTAGGCCTCCCGTTAGTTGAGCTTGACGACAATGATTGAACGTAGACCCGGAAAAGGCGGGGCTTAGTAGGGCCGCTACAACAACAACAACAAAATTGTATTTATAAATTTAATAAAATTAATAAAAAATATTTAAATCCAAATCTAAAAAATTAAATAACATTAAACAAAGAATTAAAATAAATACGTATCTACACATTTTTCTTTCTAAAACAATAGATCAATCTAAAAATGAAAAGAAAATAAATTTGTCAAAAGAAAAACAAATTAAATAAAAAACGAATAAAATAAGAAACGAGCTGTTTCGATGGGTTCGGACCAGAGGGAGAGGGGTGTTAGTTGAGTCGGATTGAGCTGGCATAGTTGAGTCGGATTGAGCTGGCATTCATTCCCAAGACAGCCGGTTCTACGTACCGGAATGACTCGGGTTTTACCCGACCAAGGGCTGTTGTTTCGGCGACCTAACCCCGCTTAGATCGGCGATACCCCTCAATCATTGTTCGTCCATGGAGCAACTCCTTGCAGCCGGATTGCTCCCCAACCCCGGACCAGAAACGTATTTCTGCTGTGTTTGCCAGAATCGACTCCATCCAAACTCCACTTCGGTTAGGTGCAACTCATGCAACGGATGGAGTCACCTAAGAACCTGCTCTGGTCTTAGGTCTCACCGGGAGTGGACCACAAGCTATGTGGCTTCCTGCTGCTCAAGCCAAACGGCACAATCAGCCTCCAAGGCTACCCGCTCGCTCAACGCACCCAACACCCGAAGAGCCTGCACGGCTCCGAGAAGCTCCTCTGGGCAGCAGCAAACCTCCCAACCCCATAAGGCATAAACTGCACTTAGGCTTTGCAATTTCCAGCCAAGAAGTAATCTCTATCTGAAAATATGTATTCTGTGCATAATTTATATTCGCAGTCAATAAGTGCATATGTATAAACGATTCAGGTTAGGTACGTGAAGCAGTAAATTGCTAATTGCTTCACAAACCGGCAATTGTAGATACATACATAAATAAATTGTTCAAGTAAATGCGCCTGCATCACCACCAAACTTGTGTACATATAGCTTCAATTAGAATAATACCAACGAAAAAAAACCCGTTACGTCTCTTAAAGATCACTTCATATATTTATTTTTTAAATGTTATTAGTCACATACGTTGTAGGGGGTTGGCTTTTGAGGTAATTTACGTACATACATACATATGTTTATAAAAATGGTATAACAAAATGTGTTTCTATGTAATAGGTAAGAAAGAGGCCTTTGGGTTTGCTAACTATAAATTACAACACGTGGCTTTAGCACTATATTTATATGGTATTGATGGCTTAGTTAAACACATCTAATTCTAAAACAAATTTACATATTAAATACTTTTCATACCGAATGAAAGAATTAAATTAATAGTATTATTAAAAATTAATATATTAATTAATTAATAGTATTATTAAAAAAAAATATTATCTAAAATGTATAGTTTTGCATAAATTTCAATGCAACTAAAAGTCACTTGTACAACGGTATGGTATGCGTTTAGTAAATTCATTTTGAATTGTAACGCTTTTCGGAAACCTCATACCCGATATTCAATTCAGCATAAAGAAAATGTTAAAAATCTTATATATGTATAGGCACGTGGTCCAGCAGCTGCGCCCGGTCTGGAAAAACGGCCGAACACATCTCACACTCGAAATAACGTTGTTTACGCCCGGGTAGTATTGGAGACGCCGCCGCCGATGTTGCACCAGCAGATATCGCCACTGCTCCACCCACACCATTAGACGGCGAAAGTGAAGAGAAAGATGAGTCATTGCTGGTATTAAGTGAACCACTACCGGATGATTTAGTGAAACCGTCTAAGCTATAAGAGGAAGGATATGTCCGAGTTCTTTTTTGGCTGCTCATGGAACCATCTCCTTTCTCTCGTCTATTATTCCTGGCTTGCTTATTCTTCGAAGTGCTACCGCTACTGATAGTTGCGGCGCTACGCTTTTGAGTTCGAAGTGCACCATTTCGTGGCAATTCCGATTCGAATTCAAGATATTTGCGATTAACAGCACCGGCGCGACTACGAGCGGTACGAATACAACGACGTTCATTGCTACTACCGCTTGCACTGCCACCACTTACACTAACGCCCGCAGTGTCGCTAACACCAACAACAATTTCACGCAAATCCGGTGATGTTGGCTCGATTTTTATCATGTTGTGTTGCTCCTCTTCGAGGAATTGTGTGGACGATTCACTGATGAAGCGGTGACGCTCGGTGCGATCACATTTAATAGGCGAACGTAAAATTTCTTCCAAATCATTAACAATGCTGGGATTGAACTTCTCGTAGGCTTCTTTACGCAGCGTAGCAGTGCCACCGAGAAACTGTGTATCATATAGATCAATATTCCTTGAAGAACTTGTTTGATGTGAGCTATATTGTATGCGGTGTTGCTGATGTTGATAAGCTTCTTGTGTCCTCTCTTCTTTAATATGGGCCGGACTCGAACTAATTTGCTTAGGTAACTCAGTGGTGGGTGTAATAATTTCATAGTCGTCGACAATTATTGTAGAGGAACGTAATACATCTAAACTTGTATCTTGTTTTTTGGTTACAATTGTTTTAGAACGTTTTCGACCACTTTCATTATTACCAGCTGACCACTTTTCGGTATGAATCATACGCGGGCGACTTGTTTTGTTTGATACTGTTGCTTTTTCTGGTCGCTTACGAGCTTTACTTCCCCCTTGGCCTTTGCTTATTTGCACTTCCTGTGTGCGCTGCGAGCCACTGCTATTAATCTCCATGTTCGATTTGTATCTCGACCTGCGTTCTTCGGCATCTAAGTGTGATGTACTGCCCGAAGAGCCCACAACCAGTGCATCGATAGTTTGTAGAGTGTTTTCCAAATTCGATAGCACAGAGTTAGAATTAATGAGCTTGTTTTGCCATATTGTATCTGAATTACTGCCAGTTGATTTGTAGCGCGGCTTTCTGGGGCGTTCCATGAGTAAATCATTATCTGGCAATATAACACTGGCATCAGTGGCGTTTGTCAACGAATTGTTATTGCTACTTTTAGCTTTGCCACGTTTGGATTTTAAGGAAGTTTTTGTGGGCGCAGGGGGATCTGCAATGCCAAGGAGATCATCTACATTGTCAATATCAAAGTCCGAAATTTCTATATCACTGCCATTCGGGTTCTGTTGACTCTCCCTGCGCAAACGAGCAATCTCATGTGGCTTCAGTTTTCGTCGCCTTTTGTATTTACGAGGGCCAGTCTGAAATGAAAAAAAGAATGAAGTTAGTTAGGTTAAAGAAACATATTTCGTCGTTTAAAGAACAAAACCGCGAATCGTCATTCTGCAAAACCGAGTAACTGACATTTGCTGCCAAAAATTGGATTTGCTCACACAAGCTATTGGCTC